AATAGAGATCAACAAAAAGGGCAGACATAGATGGGTTGGCAACGTCTTTTGAAAATATGTAGAGTATTGGACACCAAGACGATAAAAAAAGAGCTAGAGGTGGCCAGAAGATCTGACCCGATACTCCGGCCCTACATGGCACGGTATGGCCAGATATAGGAAGTGGTGACGGTAACCAGGGTGGGTTTCTTGCATCAGATGTGGGAAGGATCTGGATCTGGATTCACTAACTATATGGAACGTGATTAACACGGTTTATCAAGCCAATGGTTAGGGTTTTCTTATCGAATAACAAACGACTAACCACTAAATTAAGATAGTACGTGTTTAATAAACATTTCAATGAAAACAATGAATCCCAAACTGGTCAAAAACTTGTGAGAACCGCATATTGTGGGGAGGTGATTACAATAACGTCCGCGAGTTCACTTCCGGCTGCGAGTGGGTGACGCCTACAGTTGAATTTATAAGGAACATACGGCACTCATTAACCGAGCAGACGGTGCTTACAATCATCATTATCATAACCATAATCAACATTATTGATGCTGTTAAAACATTCATAATAATAATGGTGGGATTTTATTATTATAAGTAAATCCGACACTTTTTGATGGCACTGGTAAGCTAGTAAATAATAATAAACAAGATTTTGAATTACTTACATCACATGCAGTTATATTTACTATAGATGGTGGGACCGTTTGAATTAAACAGGTCGCTATGTTGTTATTGGAATCTTGGATGTAAATGAACTCGTGTGTTACACAGCAGTCATTGCTGGAAAAATAAAAAAAATCAAGGTAAAAAAAATAATTTCACATTCATTAAAATGTTTTTATTTTTTGCATCTTTTTACTTCAAGCAAGGCGATAATGTCACTAAGGGGCTACTAAAAGTGAAAGAGAAGGAAAAGGTTTTAGAAGTAACCGGAAACCTAATACTAAACAGGAAACAAGGTACAAATCTCTACTTTTCTTCAAGATATTGGGAATGAGGTAAACCAGGCGATGGGCCCAGCTATCTATTCCTATTTATTTTAATCTTATGGGGCTATCTTATTTGTTTTGTCTAAATTATGTTACATCACCTGCGTTGTATATGGTACGCCATATATTTGCATTTCTTATAGAGCTATTTATGCAAGGTATTCATATGTATACAGGGTGCGATGGATAAATTGTCGTTTGAATAATTCAAAAATGAAAATAACAATGACCTCTCATCTTTACAGATATATTTATACCTAAATTACACAAAACTAAAGAGTAAATTTATTCAATACAATCGCCATTGGCATAAAACACGGCCTTCAGGCGACTTCGGAATCTCCTGCATCTCTTCTGGACAGTCTTCGTGTTTAAGTTGGTGAATGTTGCCATAATCCTTGCCTTCACTTCATCTTTGGTGTTATAAGGCGTTTTGTTGGTCTTTCCAGCAACTACGTCCCGCATATAATAATCAAGGGGGGTGCAGTCTGGGGAGTTAGGTACCTAGATGTAAGTGATTATGTGGTCGCAGAAATTGTCTGACAGCCATCACTTCCTGCTTGTGTGGCATGGTGCACAGTCCTGTTGTCAGACTTTTAGCAGACACCTTTTTGACCCAGGGCAGCAGTCTCCTCAAGGCACTTGAGCGAGGTTCTGTGGTAAGATGAATGGAGGCATAACATCGCCATCATTAGTGATCACTCCATGATGTTGACTGGATATATCATCCAGCTTTTTTCGAATCCTCTGCACTGTCCTCAGATTGACAACCAAACACTCTGAAATGTTCATACTGGAGCTTCCGGCGCGAATCCCAAGAAGTACAGCATGCCGTTCCCAATTTTTTTGGCGGAGAGATTTGCGTCATGGTGCTTTTTTTTTTTCTCACGGACGGTGCCCAACTGACCCTACTATACAGTGCAGTCGACAAAATCAAAAACAAACAACGCGCAGGCACGAAATTAAAAAAATATGAAATGGTTACAATTTACCCATCGCAACTTGTATGCAGGCTATGTTTAAAGGAGAAATTAAGATAATTAAATACAATGATCAATGAAAACTATTAAACCAAAGGATAGAACTAGTATTAAACTGTATGCACTGAAGCGGGTTCAAGGTAATATAATATAGATTTTACCTTATAACTCACTAACAACCAAAAAATAACAGCCCCCCCGCCATTGATATAACTCCCCACTCTGATTAAATTTTTACTTTAATATCTTTCCCTTATAGAATTTCTGATACAGCTCGTCATTCCTAATATTATAACCGAACCTTAATGGTGGAAAGGGATGGTGTATATATATATATATATATATATATATATATATATATATATATATATATATGTGTGTGTGTGTGTGTGTGTGTGTGTGTGTGTGTGTGTTAAATCCCTCACCACCTAATAATATAATCCACTAGCAGGAACCTAAATTCATTAACACCATTTCCAGACAATCTTGGGCTGAGGATAGCTGGCACATAGCAATGGTAGTTTGAAATAGACTATACCCACATGAGGTAATTTGGGACTTTTTGCTGTATAATATATACATATATATATATATATATATATATATATATATATATATATATACATAACATAAGCCATTATCAAAGATGGCAATTACATTACAATATATTAAGCAATACACGGACAAAACAATGATGATAGTTTGTTTCTGTTTACATGGAAGATTTCCAAGCAATGACAAACTCGTGCATATCAGACGCTGGAAGCGAAAATCGCACCGCAGCTCATGACTTAGGTTTCAACTGTTTTATGTATATTATATAGCTTCAAGAATTTTCAGTTTTTGTTTATTGTTTTCATGTTTAAGTATAGTTGTGTTTTCAATGAAAAAATGCTGCCTAAACACATACACAAGATATATATATATATATATATATATATATATATATATATATATAGCTTTGAATAAAGTGGACGTCATATCTAAGGCACCTTTCGGCCAACGCTTTGTCAAAGATATTCGTTGGCAATATTTAATATAAATGAATACAAAGACAATAAAGTGACGGAGGAGGGAAAGGTGGAATTCAACTAAAAGGCAATTTTAATTAAATAAATTAAATCGAATAAGGGGTGATATCCATAAATAGTTCCACAAGAGTATATAAATATATATGTCGAGTTCCACTTATCAGTTCCTCGGGTACAAATCTGTTTATATATATATATATATATATATGTAAGCAAATATATGGCTATAGATCCGACAGTATGAAGAAAAATATACGGAAAAAACAAACAAAAATCATAATATGCGATTAGTTTTAATGTTTAATGTCAACGTCGGACGTTTCGGTCTAATAGACCATCTTCAGGACATATTCATAAAACATAATTAACATAGACCATATACAATTCAACATGAAAAAGACGATGGACATAAAAACAATACCAATCCAAACAGATAACTGAAATCTTTTAATATTTCCCCTTTTCTAGCAAGATTAATGCTCGACAAACGTACATATAAGTTTTAGGTCAAAATAAAATTCTTTTCGCTTTTCATTTCAAAATACTCAAATTTTAGGAATACGTTTTCACAACATCGTCCACGTGACGACGACGTGATCATATTTAAACAGGGGACGTTGATATATATATATATATATATATATATATATATATATATATATATATATATATATATATAGTGTCATGTTGCGGTTTTTAGATGTTATTAATAATGTGAAAACATACGTAACTATAAGTTTCTTTTTAATCCTCTTGTGTTTCGACAGAATCGATCCTCAGACACTTACAATGAAGTCAGTTCTATTTTCCGGCGCACATTTTTCATTTATAAACGGCAACTAACACCGTCTTTCCTCCCGCGAAGAGTAGACAGAAGCAGTCGTCGACTACAAAATATAAACACAAGCACTGGCGGGAAAATGGAACTGATTTCAATTTAAGTGTCTGACGATCGTTCCCACCCAAGTCCAGATGTCTTACATCGCGTGTTTAGACATTGTTTACCCCTTTTTGTTTCGCTCGCTACCCCGTCTTGACATCTGCTTGGTGGTGGTGTAGTGTACGAAATTTACTCTGGTACTACTTAAATTGATTGGTCCTCCCATAAAATATAGGGGAAATCGTTTTTGGCAATAATTTTTGTACATTAAGGTTCATAAGATATTCAGATGACACAGTGTTGATATCAGACACAAGAAAACTGCAACTCCGACAGAATACAGTGAAGGAAAGCAAGAAGAAAGGATTAAGTATCTGAATGAAATAAACGCGTGGTCGTTACCAAAAGGGGCAGGCCAAAATGCAAATTACAAATTGGCGATACCAAAATATAACAAGTGTCACTTCTCTCTATATATAAATACCCCTTCTCTATCATTGTGTGTGTCCCTTCTCTCCCTCTCTCTTTAAACAATTTAAATATCTGCGAAGTGTTTTAACAGAGAACAGAAAGTGCGACATTGAAATCCGAAGACTCATTGGGAGAGGCAAAGATGATTTCCGAAAGCTAAGCAGAGTATAAAAACCAGAAAAAATATAAGAAAAAGTATTAAGAAGCTGAAAAATTTCATTAGAAGCAAAGAAAATAGTACTGGACTGTTACGTGATATCTATCCTCCTATATGGCAATGAATGCTGAACAGTCTCGTCAAAGATGAAGAAGAGACTTGAAGCAACAGAAATGTGTCTCTACAGAAGGATGCTGAGGATAACATGGATCGAATATGGGAGCAACGACTAAGCTTTAGAGAAAATGGAAGCAAAAACGAAACTTACTCCCTTGTGCAAATTAATTGACACAAAACGAATAATTACGTTATTATTTACTTTTCTTTTGTATTTTTCCAATGAAACATGACCCAGTGCACATGTTAGTACTTTATATAATCCTTCCACGAAGTATTTTCCTTGCAGATTGACCACAGATTCTCGATTATGTTTAAATCGGGAGAGTTTCCGGGGCAGTCTATAGTACTATATGTAAACAGATAGCTAGCTAGCTAGCGAGCTAGATAGATAGATAGATAGATAGATAGATAGATAGATAGATAGATAGATAGATATGAACAGAAAGAGATAGATAGATAGATAGATAGATAGATAGATATGAACAGAAAGAGATAGATAGATAGATAGATAGATAGATAGATAGATAGATAGATAGATAGACTCTCCCATAGATAATAAGTAGGAGTAGCAGTGGCAAGTCTGGCAGAATGGTGTTGAGCGCGTCAGTCGAGATTCGGACATTTGAAGTACCAACCATCACAACTAGATTTGCTGCGTCATTGACTCTTATTTTCCAAGTTCCTAACGTTTTGTACGTCGGACCTAATTTAGGATGACTTATTAGAAATACAAGCCTCCACTGTGAAAATACTCTAAAACAGATAGATAGATAGATAGATAGATAGATAGATAGATAGATAGATTCTCCCATAGATAATAAGTAGGAATAGCAGTGGCAAGTCTGGCAGAATGGTGTTGAGCGCGTCAGTCGAGATTCGGACATTTGAAGTACCAACCATCACAACTAGATTTGCTGCGTCATTGACTCTTATTTTCCAAGTTCCTAACGTTTTGTACGTCGGACCTAATTTAGGACGACTTATTAGAAATACAAGCCTCCACTGTGAAAATACTCTACAACAGATAGATAGATAGATAGATTGATTGATAGATAGATAGATAGATAGATAGATAGATAGATAGATAGATAGATAGATAGATAGATATGAACCGAATGAGATAGATTGATACATAGATACGCTCTTGTGCAAATTAATTGAAACAAAACGAATAATTCTGTTATTATTTACTTTTTCTCGAATTTTTCCAATAAAAGATGACCCAATGCACATGTTAATACTTCGTATGTCCATTCCACGAAATTTTTTCTTTGCAGATTGACCACAGATTCTCGATTGGATTTAAATCAGGGTAACATTTTTTTTCTTCAAAAATGTATTGCTGGTAATAATTTTTCCTCAAATATTTATTTCTAGTAATAATCTTTTACAAAAATGTATTACCGTTATTAAAATCTATTTTAACACTTTCATAGTGTTTGACCCCAGTTTGGGGGTTAAATATTTGCCCATAGGTGTGACCCTGACAGGTGCTACCACCTCGGGTGAGGGTCGACCCGGGAACACCAGCAATTAAAAGGTGGTTCCACGCTCCACAAAACCTCCTGATCAGAGGCCTTGCTGTTGGACGTAGTTTATCGTCTTAACCAGGACGCAGATGTAGTTTATCGTCGTACCCAGGACAAAGTATAAATGAAACCTTAATAGTGGTTGACAATGCCTCAGAAAATAAAAATAAATTTCAAGAAAATATAATTTGTTTACAAACGATCTAAAACTAATCTGAGTCGTTGCGATGAAAAGTAACATAAATGAAGATAAAAGAAATACTAGCAAAAACGAACAATGGCTGACAGTGATTCATCTAATAAATGGCAGTAGACAAATGGTCTGAATATTTGCGATGAAAAGTAATCAACATTTATATTTAAAGAAATAAGAGTCAAAAATCAAGAATGGTTGATAATGATTCAGCTAATAAAAAGCAAAACGAATAATGGACGATGACGATGTGTTTGATGCTGATACAGCGATTTGTCAAAACATTTCTGAAGGTCACCCTGAAAACTTTGTGTAATACAATGGAAACCAGGATAGGTCAAGAAATGGAATATGAAAATTGGTGAGATTTGAAAAAAAAAAAGATAAAAAAAAATAAAAATAAAACAAACAAAAACCCCAACAAAAGCACGAACGCAAATGCGTGCGGTTTCATTTTCTTTCGATGAATACACGATCTCTTTCTTTATTTGTCACTCTTCGTAATTCAAAACTACATCTCTCTCGTTCTCTCTCCTTCTCCCACTCTCTGCATTTTGACACTCTTTCTTTTTCTATCTAATGTACTTCTCTTTTTCTCCGTCTCCCTTTGTTCTGTCGGTCACCCACCGATATCTCTTTGTACAAATGGTTCTTTCTTTTCTTCTTTTTATGTGTCATGTCCTTTCAGGACCTAGACGATCATGGATCTCCACTTCCCTCTATCCCTTGCAGCTCTCAACAAGTTCCCTCTCCTTGCTTTCTAACCCCCCCCCCAACCACGCTCTGTCATCTACTTGCTTAAGCCCGCCAGGTATGTCACGCGTTTTTTTTTACCTTGTCTTTCTTTCTCTCTATTCGACCCGTGAGTATCAGATTCTCCAGGCCCTCTTTTCTCATTATGTGTCCCAGAAATTTCATCTTCCTCTTCTTGATGCTAAGTATAAGCCTCCTCCTTGTTTGCAACCTCTCTAAGACCTCATCGTTGCTCACACGCTCGGTCCATGATATCCTTAGCATCCTTCTGTAGAACCAAATCTCTGTCGTCTCGAGTCTCTTCTTCATCTTTGAGGAAATCGTCCAACATTCGCTGCCGTAACGAAGAACAGATGTCACGTAACAGCTTAGTATTCTTTTCTTTGTTACCAAAGAAATCCTCATGTCTCGCAATACTCTGCCCAGCTTTTGGAATGTGTTCTTGGCCATCCCAATACCTCTACGGATCTCAGTGTCGCACTTACCTTCCTCTGTCAAGAGGCTTCCCAGATATTTAAACTTCCGCGTCTGCCTGATTCTAGTGTTCCCGACCTACAAATCGCATTCCGGGCTCTTCCTTTTACTGATGACTATGTATGTTTCATTAAATATCCCAAATATCTCTTAGTTCGCGTGCTCACACAAACACACACACAAACACACACTCAAACACACGCACATACATACACTCACATGTTACGCGTTTCGTTCGGAAAAAAGAACGTCTTTCTCAAAAGTAACTGTTCAGTAGTCAATCCTATATACAAAACAGAGAAAGAGAGAGAGAAAAAATCAAAAAAAAAAAAATCGGTTACTGTTTATATCAAAACATTATCAATACAGATACGACATATAACGGAATTGATTTAAATTATGTAATGTTAATGAAAATTCATTAAATTAAGTATGCCACATATGCAAAACAAATAATGTAACGAGGATTTTTTAATCGCTGTTGTATAATGATTCTTTCTCTTCTAATGTCATTCTCAACTTTTCCCGCATTTCGTTTTGCTTTTGTTCTTGAAATTTTTTAAACGAAAGATACTTTTTAATTCTGTGTGCGTTATTGCAATCATTATAGCTGAATGCTGGCTTTCTTTCCATAAAACTGACAACCATTTCAATAGCTTTTTCAATTTCAGTCCAGGTTTCATCACAATCATGCATCTCGTCGCTATCTTGTTGCAGATGTGTCTCATTGTCATCCTTTCCTCTTATTCCCATCATCTTTTGCACCAAAACAAGCCATTAGGGTGAAATAAGCATAAGCAATTATCTAAAGTAAATTTCCTGAAAAAAGAAACACATCAAAATCATATCCGGATATGCGGGATTCCGAATATGAGGCACTCCGAATATGAGGGATTCCAGATATGAGAGATTCCGGATATGAAGCACTCCGGATATGAGGGATTTCGGATATGAGAGATTCCGGATACGAGGGATTTCGGATTTGAGGATTCTACTGTATTTCGAAATCATTGACGGCAAGATGATTATTTAATTTTTTATTGGTTTTATTTTTACCGGTTTTCATTATTCCGTAAAAAAAGAAAAAAAGAAAGTTGAGCGTCTTTGTATTTTAAACGTTTTGATGTAAACTGTCGCCATGTTTTGAATTTTTCGCTTTTTTTATCGATAATATTTCGTTTAATATGACAATGATTATTTTAAAGCATCATTTTACTTACATGACTTCTGCTTGATAATAATCTTTATCCTTGACATCATTAACAATTTCTTTAACTTCTGTCGATTCACGGGATGCATAAACGCTGACAATAGGCGTACGCACACTACCTGGCTCGGCAGTCACTATGGCAGTCCAGCGATAATGGCAACAGTCATTGTCCAGAAAGCTCACTAGACAGACTTCAGTGTCGTTCGCAGGAACAAGGTAATCACACGACGGTGGACTTACTGGGCGGGGTGTCGTCTGGAAAAGAAGACAAAGTTCGTTAGAATCAAAATTAGGTTTCAAAAATTCTAAATTTTTAATTCAGCCAGTCAGTTAAAAGCCATATATGATACACGCTTGAGTAATCATGTATCTTTCGTTCCATGACTGACTAGACAGAAGATATTCCCGCAGTATGTTGCCGTTTCTTTCTGTGGTAGACTGGTTGACAACCAAGGCTATAGGACCCAGTCGGTACAGCTATTCAACGTACAGGTGGGAGGAGAAGAGATGAATTTACACCCAGGGTTTCGTACGTCTCGGCGTAGCCCATTTGACGTCGCTGATTCGGTGTCAGAAAAATAATTGGACTATTCGGCGCACTGTCTTTGACCGGAACCCCACCCCACCCCCGCAAAAAAGGATAAAAGCATTGACAACACCCAACTTTCAGTATGACTTTTTTTTATTCATTTAAGGATTTAAGGATCCATTAAAACACAGATGGATTAATGTAAATTAAAAACTGATGCGATGGAATAACCTGCAACCCCCATGAGTGGCGGCACTATAGGTGGTATCCGTTAGGACAGCGGAAATATTTATTATCATTAAATTTTTAAATCTCGGGGCGCGTTTTGTAGGTCCCCCTGAAAGGATGCGGTATTATGGTGTATGGAGGATTGATTGGTGATGGACGAGTTATTGTGGTGAACGCGCAAATTGTAACACGCACAAAGACATACACATATGCATGAAATACACGCATGCAACGTCACATGCAAACAATGTATGACGTACAGAAAATCAACTCTATTATAATAGATTCTAAATAAAAGATTTTATACGTCGTTAAATCCTGAGGTGTGATTTATATTACATGTGATAAACCGAATACTGGACAATTTAAGGCCGTGATTTGAAGGAACAGAGATGTGGTTCTACAGAAGGATGCTGAGAATATATTATGGACGGAACATGTAAACAACGAGCAAGTTTTAAGAAAAATGGAAGCGAAAAGGATATTTAAAAAAAATCAATACACCTTAAGGAAGGCGATAATACCACTAAGACGCAAGGGGCTACTGGGAATTAATTAAACAGCTTAGTATAATTTTTATGGAACTCTCTTGATATTTAATTCATTCGTCGATTACCAGTACAGTCATTTCTTCAAGACAAGCGACATTTGTACAAAGATTTATAATTTTTTGTAGAGTTTAAAAAAAAAAATTATACTTGTATACAATTATTAGGGTCTTGAAAAAGTTATCACTGTTTTCCAATAGATGGCGTTCCCAGAACTGCGTGCGTGTAGTTTTAGATGGTAACACGTCTATAAGGAAGTACTAAAAGCAAGCTTCAAATTCAATGTATGTCATTTCGCCGAACTGTAAACAACGTTGTTTTTCATAGCGTTAAACATGTCGGATTTCATGCCAAAGAAAGCGTATTTGCGAGGAATTTTACTGCACTACTTTATTCAAAAGAAATCCGCAGCTGAAGCACACATAATTCATGTTGAGACTTACGGCGACCATGCTCTGCCGGAAACAACATGCAGAGATTGGTTTAGATGCTTCAAAAATAACGATTTTGATGTTGAAGATAACGAACGCTCTGGAACACTGAAAAAGTTTGACGACGAAGAATTGGAGGTATGGGAAAAAGTAGTGGCTAGCGATGGATAATATTTTCAGTGACATTTTTCTTACTAATTTTTGTAAATAAAATATTATTTTTCATGAAAAATCAGCGAGAACTTATTCAAGGTCTTAATATTAAACATAACCTGAAGAAAACAGACATACTATCAAAATATTGTTGGAGATAGTCAAACACTGTCTTTTCTTTTTCTTAAATCGCGCTCTTTTCTAAGTGATGTAATAATAACAATAATAATAATAATGATAAATTCTTTGATGCTACATCTTGTATGATTCTCATGGGTTCTGATCTTAAATGATTCCAGGTGACAGCATCTACGTTTTGTATTGGCGAATTAAGATGGGTTACAGTAAGCATCTCATTCTGTACGACAGGTTTGCTTTGTTTCAGTGACGTCATACGTATGGATTTCGGATTAGATAAATGTGCAAAAGTAACATTCAAGAAAGGGAGAATTATAGAAACAAACTCAATAGATTTAGATTTTGTCACAAAGATTTTGAAACTGGAACAAGATGAAGACTATAAGTAACTAGGAATTAGCGAAGGGGATGTTATACAGCATAGCCAAATAAAGGAGAAGCTAAAGGAGTACTACAGGCGTGAGCGTCTGGTTCTGAATACCGAGTTGAATACAAAAAAATATCAGCTATAAACTCCTTGGCTGTCCCTGTGGTGCAATACAGTTTTAACATTCTTAACTAGACCATAGCTGACATTAAGCGAATGGACGCCAAAACCAGAAAGCTTACCTCCGTATACATCATCCCAAAGCTGATGTTGATCGTATGTATATGCCCAGCTCCGAAGGAGGCAGAGGATTAGTTCAACTAGAACTAGCTTACAAAACTACAACAATAAGAACTGTCTTACAAAACTATAACGACTGGCCTTAAAAGATACCTGGAAACTACAGAAGACTGGATGATGATATGTGTCAAAGAATATGAAAGTAGTAAGCGACTTTATTCAGTCATAAAGAAAGCCAACAAGATCAAAATGGAGTTTCAAATGGGTGTCGAAATACAAGCAAAGCACAATACACCGGCTGGAGCTGCAAAATACTTAAAAAAAGAAAGCAAGAGCAAATGCAATAGACCAGATACAGAAATAATGGCAAGATAAACTGCTTCACCGTCAATAATCTGCTCGTACCAAACAAGATGATGTAGACAAACCCAGTCCCCGTCGGTGGCTTCGTAGTGCAGGGTTAAAAGCTGAAACTGAAGGTTTTATTCTTGCTGCACAGGACCAATGATTGTTAACTAGAAATTATCAAGCACAAATTGGGTTAGCCCAAAATGCAGATTCTGTGATAAATACCCAGAAACAATTGATCATCTTGTATCAGGTTGCATGGTATTGGCACCTACTGAATATAAAACTCAGCATGAGAGTGTGAGCCAACATCTGCACTGGAAAATCTACAACTTCTACGGAAAGGAAACTGAAAGAAATTGGTATGATACCACACAAACCCGGTTACGGAGATAGGATTTTTGACAATTTTATGGGACTTTATAATGCACAGAGACAGAACAATCAAAGCTAATCGCCCAGACATCGTTATTAATATGGCAGCCCCTACAGACTGCAATGTATCTTTGAAGATCTTCAAAAAATTATTAAAATACAAGGACCGTGAAATCGAAATCTCAAAAATGTGGCACATGAAAACATCAATAATTCCAATTATAGTTGGAGCCTTCGGATTGAATGAAAAAGGTTCCGATAGACTCATTGAAGGGATTCCTGGTAGTCGATGCCTTAAAGAAATACAAACAATTGAACTCACACATTACGAAGAGCTTTATCTATATAAAATATATGTGATCTTACGGTGTTTTTTGGGGGGTTGGGGTTACAAAAATAATCAGTGGAAAAAGACCCGAAGCCATTTATGGCCTTAGGTCTCCGTTTGGGACCCGGAAGAAAATATATATACAACAGAAATCAAAGGGAATAATAATAATAATAATAATAATAATAATAAAGAAATATTAATAATAATAGTAACAATAATAAAATCAATACTACTACTATCAATAATAATAATCCAAAGTTATTTCTCTCTATTAATCTTACCATAATATCGGACTTTTTTCGGATCATCAAGTCAACCATATTGTATTGAATTCCAGCCTGGCTTTTAGAGTCGGATAATCGAGCCGATACTGTAATTATCCTGAAAAGAATTAAGAAAGAAATGAATCTCATTCATTAAGAGCTCATTAATAATTAATTAATAACGAAGTGTCCCAAAAATTAAAATCACTAAACGACTTCCTCAAAGAAAAGAGATGCTGATAGAAAATTAAATATTTTTTTATGGACTAATTTCAAGAGATGTGTCAAATATCAGACAAGATTCAGGATCGTAAAGAAAAAATGTGTTTTTCCTGATGGAAAGAAGGGATGTATGTTCGATTCCTGTGGTGGGTACAATTGGCCTCAATGTCTACTTTTATATTTATATAAGCCCTATCGCTGATATTGTGCACTTTACCCCTAAATATAGCATACCCTCAAATTATATTTTTATCATATATATATATATATATATATATATTTGAAAAAATATAATTTAAAAGGTATGCTATATTTATGGGTAAATATTGCCCAATATCGCTCCTTTTATGTTAATGAATTGAGAACCATAAAACTCTGAGTTGCACGATACACTTATATATATATATATATATATATATATATATATATATATATATATATATATATATATATGGTATAAAATGACAATTGGAAAAAAAAATGTTTGCCGACGCGTTTCGTCTTGGATTGTCCACAGAATTGATCTGGGAATTTAACTGTATTGCCGACATGGAAAAAAAAATCTCTTAGTATAAAGGAAATTTACATTAACCAGAAAAAGGCTTAGACAGAAGCGTCTATCTTTTATAAATTTGGATTTTTTAATGTAACTGTAACAACAAAAACATTTCGATTTCATTTTTGCCTTGAAAAATTCGGAGGAGGAAACGCGTCGGCAAAATCTAAGATTTTTTTCTAATTGTCATTTGATACCAATCTGTCTTGTCCACAGAATTCATCTGGGAATTTAACTATATATATATATATATATATATATATATATATATATATATATATATATATGTGTGTGTGTGTGTGTGTGTGTGTGTGTGTGTGTGTGTGTGTGTGTGTGTGTGTGCGTGTGTATGAATCTGAAACTGGTTTATTAAATTTATTCACAATTTGTTTATTATGCAATTATTGTGACTTAAAGCAGAAAAGAATGAGATTATGGTTTCGGGTGCGAATATTATGAGAAGTTCCCGACAAAAGTACAATTCGTATCTCATTTCCACAGACGCTTCATAATACATGTAGCAATTACACGCTCATGCAGCGTCACACGCTCATATAGCAATCCCACTATCATGTAGCAATAGCACGCTTATGTAGCAATCACACGCTCATGTAGCAATTGCTTTCTCATGTAGCAATTGCACTCTCATGTAGCAAATGTCCGCTCATATAGCAATCCCACTATCATGTAGCAATCGCACGCTCACGTTAAAATCACACGCTCATGTTGCAATTGCTTGCTCATGTAGCAATTGCACGATCATGTAGCAATCGCACGCTCATGTAGCAATTACACGTTCATGTATAAACGACATGTTCTTATAGCATACAAAGAAGCCATGACTATCTTTTTTTTTACTTTAATTCGCGTTACTGATTTTGTCAATTATTACTATAGTAACAACAGAAAAAGCTACATGTGTGTTACTGTTTCCTACTCTTTAAAATCTATTCCTAAAGACACACGGACTATATTTAGTCGTCCCCCCACGAGGGCGTCATGTGGCACAGGGCCTTTTTAACGTGGGTATTTCCGAGCCATTAGGCTCGGCCAAAAAATAGCCCATTTGAACCCGTATAAACGGGTTCAGGGCCGGTTTTACCTCCCCGAAGGAGACTCCGCCCTTCGGCGTTGCCTCCTTCGGGTTCCTCTCCGTCCGTAGACAGAGAGTTGAACCGAACCGTTCGCTCAGAAAGTGAGCGGCGGACACACGGACATTGACATCCACATAGAAACTCTCTCGTCCATCACTTTCCTTCCTTTAGAAATCATACCTAAGTTATACCTAATTCGATACGCAAAGTTATTTAAATAAATGTATGGCAAGGTAGTATTTATCCCCACTGAGGCCGAATGTGACACACGGTCGGGTTTAATGTGGGGAACGTTAGCGCATACACTCGAACCAGGGACAAAATTGCCCAGCCCCAACAACAGTCAGTTATGTGACCTTAGTAGCGACTACCGATCTCCCCTACGTAGAATTATTTAATAACTAGGCTTTGAAAATCACCATATCATTACCACTAGTAATTGTGCAAAAGTGAATGCAGGGATCATGGTCGGAATTTGCCGATTTCTCATTCGCCTCTATTACACCACTTGCACATCCATCTCTGAACTTATTTTTTTAAAACTAATATTTAAATATTTATCTACAATTAGAGCACTTCCGGTTTATAGGTCTACATCCGGATTATACGGTCTAATATAAAAAAAAAAGATTCTAAAATGATTTATAGCGGCTCATACTGAGCTGAAAATTAGAACCATCTTTCATATGTTTATGCCTAAGAGCCACTCAAGGTAGAGGGTTACCGAGTGAGAATCTTGTAAAGGAGAGAGAAGGAAGAATTAAGAAATGCTTTTTATAAGGATTTGTAGGATAAATATCGGTTGAGCCTGGACTAAAATGAGACCAAGACTGTAGCAGTCTGGGAAGCATCTTCACAGGAATTTCCTTACAGACAAATTTTAAACCCTCACAAAGTGCAGTAGTTTTTCTGGCCTCATGACACATAGAAACAAACAAATATTCGTCGGTAAAGTAATTTATTTAAGAGTGCAGGTCTTCTTAGTAAGTAATCACAAAAGGAGTATTTTAAAAATATATGACTTACGCTGAAACTCCGGACATTTTTCTGATTAGGAGGGTGAAGAAAGAATCCAAGGTTTGTCCAGCCTCGACATAGTGTTTTTGCCTGTTGTTATGGACGTCGTAATGTTTTGATTCGCTGGCTGAAATTTCGATATAATCCGCTTCGCTACCAGCATTAGTCACAGAAAATTGGAGACGAATTCTTGTCTTCGGTTCCACTACGGCTACAAAAAGAAAAATAGACAAGATTTACCAAAGCTAACAAAATAACATTTCTACAACGCTCGCAAATATCTTGTTATGTTACATTAACAGATAATGGATAGCAAATTCAAGGAAGGTATTAGATAATCTAAATTAGTGATCCCCAATAGAAAAAAAAAATGAAAATAAATTTCTCAAGGACACATGGCACAGTGGATAAAGGCGTTAGTCAGATCCAGTGACAGGACCCAAAGAGTTGTGAGTTCAATATCCGGTTAAGGCAGTGGAGAAATTGGAGAGGGAAATTAACAGGAGATAAGTGACAATTGACATCCATTAAACATGTCACGTGGAACTAGAACAGTCTACCCCAGTGAGCGAAATAAAGGATTCATTTCGACACTCCAACAACCTGAAGAAGGCCAGAGCGTACAACGGCCGAAACGTTGTCATAAATATGGTGACAAAGATGAGGACAATAGTCCGAATAATGTAAATAGTGTACATAATACCTCATCTCAGAAATATAGACAGATACTGAAGGGCTGAAACGTTGTAATAAATATGGCGACAAAGATGAGGACCGTAGACCGAATAATGTAAATTTTCTTCCCTCTATATATATTGTTAAGTGTAGAAAAATATTCGGATCTTCTAATTGATTAGTAGGGATTTTTTAAGCGACAACACTTTGCAATGTTACCATAACGTTGTGACAACGTTGAGGATAAAAGGTCAGTTTGAGGGTCAGAAAAATTGTTGATTGTAATGTTACAGTAACGTCACCACAATGTTATTCATGTATTTTTTAGCGGCATATCAACATTTTTATGGGTTGTTTAATGCCAAAATCTAAATATTTTGAACACAATCTTATGACTTCAGATAAAATGTATTGTTGTTAATTCTGCTATAAATATGTATTGTTGATAATTTTACTATAAATATGTATTATTGCTCATTATACTATAAATAAAAGCAATAGCAATTATAATAACACACATCCGCAAGATAGCAATAATAATTGTAATTGCCGAAATAAAAACAACTGTCCACTTTATAATAAATGTTTAACTAAAAATATATTATATAAATCAACTGTATCAAATAATATTAATACAGAAAACTATTTATATAGGAGTAATCGAAAGCATTTTAAAGAAAGATTTAATAACCATAAGATGTCTTTTAAAATAGATAAATACGTAGATAGTACAACATTATCAAAATATATATGTAGCCAAAAAGAAAATAATTTACCTACTGTAGTTAAATGGGAAATTATAAGAACAGTACCCCCATATAATATTACCAATAGGAATTGTAGACTGTGCTTAGAAGAAAAATTGTCTATATTAACTTTTTATAGGCTTACATTGTAGGGATCCAAAAGGCGATTATCTCCCTTTGGTCATAATGAAGCCATGTGACAGCTGCTTGTGAAGTCACTTCATAGTGCGACGAAAGCGGTCAGTCAATAAGCTTTCAGGAGTCAAACCAAGCAGTTGTTTTTGTAAAAGCCCAGGATGAGGGTAAATCTGCCTCTCTCAGGTCCGTTGTGCAGCTTACAAGCCTATGACGCCATTTTCCTACGAAAATATATCTTCACCAGATATAAAAAATATCTCCGGCTCGCGGTCCTTAATTTTGGCAAAAAACAGAACTCGCTATTTTCCCTTTTACGGAATATATCATCGATAACGACATAGCAGTTAGATACAGCTCGCTCGAATCGGGAATTCTAAACATGGCTTCTCCAGGGACCTAATTCTCATTGGGGATTATTACACGTAAGTCTATATTTTATAGTTACCTTTTCACTCTGTTTTTTGTATCGATTTGTGTTATATTTTCTTTGTGTAGGACATCTATCTATCTATCTATCTATCTATCTATCTATCTATCTATCTATCTATCAAGGTAACCAAAAAAGTTCTGTCCGTTTTTTGATTAGTCATTGAATGAAGTTGAAATATATACGAAATGCGTGTAGCAATTGTTTTCAAATTCGGACACCCGGAAGTAGGAACATCAGACGTTATAAAAAACACGCGCACCGTGCCCGGCCATCAGTTATAAGCCGGACAGCTCTGAGAAGGATGGAAGTGTCTAGAGATCTTGTTCGGGGCTGTTTGCTTTACGAATTCAAAGTGGTGTAGATGAACGTACTGCAAAGCGTTGGTTTCGAAAATTCAAGTCGGGAGATTTGTCTCTCCATGACGAGCCTCGCAGTGGACGACCACAGGTCTTGAATGACGGAGTCCTGAAGGCGGCCATTGAAGAGGACAGTAGTCTAACGTGTGGTGAACTTGCAAGACAGTTCAACGTTTCCGTTTTGGAGGTCCACAAGGGACAACGAGTGGCAGCCTGCGTATCGCTGCTTTCTCGCCACCGTACCGCATCCTTATTCAATCGAGTGCTTACCAGTGATGAAAAGTGGGTTCTGTACGAAACTCCTAAGCGTTCCAGACATTGGTTGTCTCCTCAGGATGCTGTCCCTCACACCGCAAGACCGCCTATGCACCCACGCAAGATTATGCTTTGTGTCTGGCGGACAGGTCGTCAAGTGGTTCATTATGAACTGCTACCAACGGGCCAAACGGTCACTGGAGACCTATACTCGCAGCAATTGAAACGTGTGCAACAGGCATTGCGCCAGAAGGATCCAGCACTGGTGAATCGCAAAGGTGTGCTTTTCCTCCATGACAACACCAGACCGCATGTCGCGCGAGTGGTCAGGGATACCATACAGCAACTTGGATAGGAGACTTTGTGCCATCCACCTTATTCACCTGACCTTGCGCCATCCGATTACCACCTCTTTCACCCCCTGGATAATCACCTTCGTGGGAAATCCTTCACCAATGAAGCAGACTTGCGCAAAGCCCTCACGGACTTCTTTACGTCAAAACCCCCCGAGTTCTAACGCAAGGGCATTGAACAGCTGGAGACACGTTGGCAGAAGGTGGTGGATGACGATGGCGATTACTTCGAAGAGTAAATATAAGTTACACATACTGTGAAGCGTTTTTTTTTTCCTTTAAAACGGACAGAACTTTTTGGTTACCTTATATATATATATATATATATATATATATATATATATATATATATATACTCGACTCTCCCGTCGAATTCGACGCATGAGGGTCAAGCAGATCAGTTCCTAACTGACAGCCCGACACCAGCACATGAGATTTGATTATAGGGGTGAAGTTTTTGTGCAGAACCATCCACACTTTTTGAAGGTCGGACGAAATAGCTGAAAGAAAAGGAATAACAAACCAGATTGTTCACAGAGATAGTTTTATGTCGTTAAGTCATACACAAAATTATATATATATATATATATATATATATATATATATATATATATATATATATATATATATAATTTTGTGTATGACTTAACGACATAAAACGATCTCTGAATACAGAGACTTGGTGCACTACGTGCCACAGTGTCCCCAAATATATATATCAAATTAATTAACAAATCGGTGACTTCAGAAATCCATGGTAATATTTTATTTCCGGAGACCGATAAAATTCGATTTCGCTTCGTCGGTTTCAAAAAAGAAAAAAAGAAAAGAAAAACAACCCCGTCTCCGATTTGTTAATTAATTATTACTTGCTCTGTTTATTACATTGAGCTCTCGAGATTTATATCCTCAGTGGAATTATCCATACGGATTAACTTTATCTATCTATCTATCTATAAATGTGAACATTGAAGTCAACACTTAGAGGCTTTGTTTCATGCTAGACGCAATCGTGGCCTGGCGATTGCGTCTAGCATGAAATAGCCTGTCGCTTCTAAGTGTTGAGTTCACTTTTATATTTACATACGCTCTATCTCTGATATTGAGAACTTTATCCCATAAATATAGCACACATTATGACTATATTTCTTCATATATATATATATATATATATATATATATATATATATATATATAATTTTGTGTATGACTTAACGACGTAAAACTATCTCTGAGAACAAAGCAGATTTGTCATTTCTTTTCTTTTCGCTATCCTGTTCCGTCCGTGAAATAAGGTGATATTATATAGATATAATAATGCCTAATAATGGGTAGTGGGAATGTAAGCTAAGAGAATAAAACTTCGCTCACCCACCTGCTGGTGACTTACCCAGAGCGTGTTGATATTATTATTAACCCCATTAACATCAATGACTATTTCATTTTACGTCTTTCTTATAATAGTCGTTCAATTTAATGCATGAACTGTTTATGCAAATTAGAATAAAGGTAGAATTTGACACTTACCAGGTAAGGGTTTCACACTGAGTTCGACGCTTGACGGTTTGTAAGGAGTGAACCTTAAGCGGTTCATTTGGTTTCCATCTTTGTCTTTGCCAATGATCCCCATATAAAAAGGCTGCAATCAAAGTCAAAATAAAATAATATTTATTTTTATGTAAAACAAAACAAAAAATGTGGCATAATGCCAAAAGTGGAGATGAAGATGGCTGGTTTTCATCTGCCTTATCTAAAACTTATCTAGCCACAATCACTGGCCCAAGCAAACTGTACAATATTCCTTACACCAAAATACCACATTCTTTACTGTTCTTGCTACAAACACCATAATACCTCAAAATCTCTATGAGGTCCCATATGTACAATTCGTCTGTGAGGGCTGAGGAATAGAATAACAAATATAAAAAGCAAAACCTCAATGAATATTTCCAATCTGCATAATACTCTATATACAAGAAACTAAACAAAATGGCGTTAGTAATACCCCACAAATCTCACAATCATTAATTGTGGCAGAAATATCAGTTAAATTGGATAAATTAAAACCAATCATTCAGCCAACCACACACAAAACTACACACTCATCCAGACACAACAACAAATATGAAAAAAAAAAAAACACACCCGAAAAACGAAAAGTGTCCACTAGAAAAATGAAAGAAAGAATAAAATGAACGAATACATATAGTCTCCAGGCTTTTAAATATCATTGGCTTACTACACCCTTACATTATATCTGGCAGTCAGTACCTTTCTGTCAAATCTACAATACCGATAATGTATAATCTCTGTATGCGTGTGTTTAGGTCCAGGTAAAACCTAGAATTTCAAATGTTGATTATGAAGGCACACAGTTCCTTCCCAATTAAAAGACTGACGCAACACAGTCTTCTTATTTATTTAACAGTCAATAATTCAGATGTTTGTAATCCTCTCTGGTCATGCAGTAATGTAGCCAAAGATGTCTACATTTTTTAGGAGCCTCGTTTTGAATACAGTCCATTGCGTCATAGTGTTTCGTTATGAATACAATATATTTTCATTATTAATAGTCTTACTAATATCCTTATTGTTGTTCTTATTAAAAGGTTTCTGTCGTTGTGTCTTCCGGCCTTATTCAGATGACTGTTGATTCCCACTGCATTATTAAATTTTGAATCTCTTCATTTGTATCCACTTCTTAAAATAATGACCAGCGATCATGCTTATCATTGCTATGGCAATATCCTGTTGTTAAGCTCTAAGACTTAACGATGCGAGAGGGGAATTTCTACTGCTATTTTATAGCCGTGGAACTCACAAGAACCTTTTTTTAGTCATTAACTTAAGACTTATGATTCATCAGAAAATTAAAATAGGGAAACAGTGAATTTTCCCGCGGGTACTGCTGGTAGAAATTAGTGTATTTCGATCAGCAATGAAATAATATATAATAATTTGCTTTAAATTTACCTGGCCATTTACCTGTTGATAAATCCGAGACTCACCTGTGCGGGGACGGTAAATGATGTGGTGAAAAGCTGTCTAGTTTTCTTTTTTCCTTGTTTTAGTTTGGCGCTGAGGAATTCAATGCCGTTTTCATCGTAGAGAACGATCTGCTCGATAGACGAGACCAGTTTCACTTTGGGAACTTTTACCTGCATTGAAATATTGGTACCTGCAAACGAAACAACGTAGAATTAACAAATTAAACTTATGATAACTGCAACGATGTCAGTTCGAGTGTAAATTATGCAAATAATGATAATTCCTTACTCCAGAATTTTAGACAAAAATTAAAAAAAAAAAAAACTAACTGCATCAGGTGGTAATCTTTCCGGTGAATCAATAAAATGGAGACAGTAGAATTTTTTTTTAAATAAAAAAAAATGCTTGCAATAATATTTATAAATGTAATGCTTATATAAAAGTGGACATTGAGGTCCACACACAGTGGCGACAGTCTGTTTCATGATTAAATGCAATCGTCACTTTAACTCATAAATGTAGCATACCTTAGAACCATATTCTTATGAATTTAATGCTTTATATATATATATATATATATATATATATATATATATATATATATATATATATTTGTGCAGCAACCTTTCAAACAGACAAGGAAAATTTGATGAAATTTTGTTGAGTTTTTCTAGTATTCTTAATTTTTTCCGCTTGATGGTATTAAGGGAATGTAAAAATTGTCAGTAGAGTCTATTGTCCCAAGCGGTTACGGCCACTTCTTTAACTATTTTCAGGGGATTTATTATTAAGTGTAGTTAATTTTTTTATGATTATCTTTTTAAAATATAGTTGTGCAATGATTATAGTAGCATTTATTCTGTTCCGCGCGAGAAAAATGTGGCTAAAATTCGAGTTGGCGTTCTTCTATTTAAAAAACCAAACAAAACAAA